ATGGTGGTTCCGGAGGGGAAAGCTAGCGAAACTTCCACGATAGATCAACTCCTTAAAAAGGTTAATGAAATGTACGAACAAACTGTGCTGGGCAAACGCAAGATATACCGTCACTCAAGCCCGGGTTCGACTCTTCTGACCGAATTGAATATTCGGTTGCAAGCTACCGACGCGGTTGAATTCGCTTCTGGGGACGTGACGCATGTTGAACCGTTCACGTGGGACTGCAATAGTGATGAACGTGGTCAGGATATTGCGCTTACCGAGGAGCAGCAGCGTGAACGATACCGCGCGTATATGGAAGCAAACATCGGTGACGTGCTTAAGAGGAATAGGCTTTGCGTGTACCGTGTGGTAAAAGGTAAGGACATCCTCAAGGCTGAAATTCCTGGGCACAACATTAAACTTGTTGGACGCACGGACATGATCATACTGAGTGATCTCGTCTTAAAAAATCCACTCGACTTGGGGATGCTGCCTAACGTGAGATTACTTATCGAAGTGAAGAGAAAAGTGACAGAATGCGCGATGTCCCAAGCTTTGTCAGAACTGATAGCTCTGGATGTTCTTGTCGATGAACCTGTGATGGCCCTTTTAACTGACTTGATTGATCATTGGCAATTTTTATGGGTCTCCGATACAACCCACAACCATGGAAATATCCGATCAGCGACGATTCATGATCCAAGCGAGGCGTTTGCGGTGATTAGGACTCTACTTGATCAGTCGCCAGATGCTGATAAAGAGATCAGTCTTCCGTGCTTTCAAGAACCTGTAAAGCGACATAAGCTATCTCGGGTCTTGCCCTCTATCGCAGAGGCTACGGGATTCGTAAGTGCATCGAACGATACAATGACATTTCCAGTGTATTAGGTCCCGACATTGCGATAGCTCGTAAGGTGGCTCGACAGGTCACTCGATCCTTCTAATGTTTACTTATTATAGCTGATTCTTGCTGCGGCATGCTGCGTTAAAAAAATCTATCATGATTAAAAGTTATTTGATATTTAGGATGATGTACTCAATTGAACAAAAAAAAACTATGCTAGCAAAGAACACATTAAAGCAGCACAGAAGCGCTATACGCGACCGTAACCAGCGACGATAAATATTGAGACCAGATTCGAGCACGCATATCAAAGCCGAAGACGGCAAGTCAATTAATAATGACTGACGGCAATTAAGTATTGAAAGTATTGAAGTGTTTATTAAAACGAAGGAATAAAAATCGCAATAGATTGAGTTGGAAAAGCATCGACAAGCAAACATGGTGAAGCAGTTCTGCGCGATTGCTGGCTTAAAAAATCATCTATCAAATTTATTCATAAGCTGATTATGACTCTTTTTTTAGCCCCAATACTCCTTTTCAACTTGGTTGACCAGTGTAGATAACCTTGCGGCTCCCAGGAGTCATGCTAAGAAGTAGCCATGTCATCAGATATTTCTCCTATTCTAAGCGTATACATAGCATTCGTGGCTCCTCCATGTGTAAGGCCTGTAAAGCGTGGCTAACCTGTTTAATATCGGTTCGTGCCTTGTACAAGTCGGTATTGATCAATCCACCGATTGTATAAATATTGACTTTAGCACGAGACATTCCCAACCTTGGAGTCTTGTCGAATCTGATCCAATTGCTCCAATGGGTATGACTATCGACAGATAGATCAACATCTACGACATGCTGATG